CATGGTTTTCCACCAGATGGGTTTAGAAGCTGGAAATCTCTTTGTCTCTTTGTCTTTCGATTGCTAAAAACAGGGACCAACTTTGAAATCCGAGTCCTTTCTGCTTGCTGGGAAGGATACAGAACTGCAGCAGGTTATTACAGCAACATCGGTAATGAGATGTGATTAGGCCAGGGTGTAAAATTAACAGCGTTACAGTTTATCTTAAGGAGGGAAGAGTGTTACATACAATATTTAGAAGTTGATTTTAAAACGAAGATTTTAATTGTCTTCCACTAATGAGTCTTGGTTTAAAAAAGGGAAAACCTGGGAGAAGAGTGGTGTGAGGCTGACGATCATCAGCTGCTGAATAAATGGCTTCTTAAAAGGTAACACTACCCTTCTCTCCCTGCAACCCTGCCTGGCCAGCCGGGCTCAGGCTGCTCTTCATCTACGGAAGAGCGGCAGGGCATCCAGGTAGCTCAAGCCAGATGACCCCTTCAGCAACACCACCTGCGTGAACATGCCATTCCCTAGCTCAGAAGAGCTGGCTGAGAGTTTCTGAAAGCTTAGGGCAGAGTTTCTTAAAGAGTGGCCCAGGAGCCAGCAATGTCCTAAATACTTGGGATGCTTTTTAAAATGAAACTTCACAGCTCCGTCCCAGACTTCTTAATACTAAACTTTTGAGCCTGGAGTGCAGGAATCGGAACTCAGACAACCTCTCCAGGTGGTCCTGATGCATCCGTAAGTCTAGGAACCGTTGGCTTGGGCTTTGCAAAACCTCTTTATCTTCATATTTAGCCCAAGATCAGATAGATGAGATGTTTTCCTGAATTGAAACTTCCAGGGAGAACATCTGTATTGTAGGAGAGAGAATACTGAAATACTTTCAAGTTCTGTCCCTGCTAAGGACCCCAAGAAGAGGCGGTTTCCTCTTAGTCCTCTGGCCTTCAGGGACATTTTTATTTGTCTTCCCTGGCTCCCCTGTTTACAGCCGTGTCCACGATGCTCACTGACTAGATCCCTTTGGTAAGGATCCACGCAACCAGGCCATGCACAGAGCCACAGGTATTGGGCCCAATACGTTTGAGAAATTGCAGATTAAAAATTGGCTCTGAACTCATGGGTCTGCGTTTGAAGCTCAGCCCTACCTACTCTTCACCAGCTATTTACTTGACCCCTCTAGGCCCTAGTTTCTTGTTTTTGCAAAATGGGGGCAGTAATAGCACCCCTCACAGGGCTGTTATGAGTACTCAATGAGCAAATGCCTGCGAAGCAATCATGTCCTTAATACACATTACGTACGAATTAGATTACAGAGGGGAAGGGGCTGGAAACCATGACACATGAGGATAAGTGGACAGAATAAAGAATTTTTATCCTGGGGAAGAAATAACATTGGGAAAACTTGATGCTTTTCAACAATTTTTCAACATATTGATGGTTATTACCTGGGAAGAGAATTTTATATTTGTACAACGTAAGGTGGTAAGACTGGGAGTATTAACAAAAATTAAAAGGGAAAGGATTTTCCCTGAATAAGAGGAAGCACTTTTTAAAAAGAGGAGTTGAGAGAGAAAATGTCTCAGGGAGTAGTGAGCTCCCCATCACTGGATGTGCTCGAATCCAGGTGGCTGGTCATGTGGTCAGACAGTGAAGGAGAGAGTGAGTCCTGGGCGGGGAGGTAGAACTGTAGCTTTGAAGGTCCCTTTCCATCTCGAGTCTGCCTCATGCCTCCAAGTTTATTTAAAGAGAGCACAGTCCACTAGGAAAGGTGATGGAATGGCGTTTTTGCAATGTGGTTCCTGGCCTAATTTAGTTCTTGGCTTCAAGCCCAGGGAACCACCCAATCACCGCTGATCAGCTACCTCGGAGACGTAATCTGTTTCTGTAACTCACAGCCACTGGTCCCAGTTTGGTCTCTAGAACCACAGAGACCAAGGCTGGTTTCTCCTTCAAACCACTTCACGATCAGTAGTTCCGTATCCCTGAGCCCCTCCGACCCACCACCGGATCTCTTCTCTTTAGGGGCAGAATTGCTTGTTCCCAGTGCCTGTACGTGAAATTCAAGATCCTGCTCCATCTGGAATCTTTAATATTAAGCTAGACTGCATTTACAGTGCGTGTTTTAATAGGCGTAGCCTCATTAATTTGATATGTGCCTAGATCGGGCTGAGTTTATCTCTGTACCAACTAAAAGAAGAGTTTGCTAAGCATATTCATTGTCTTAAGACTGCAGGGCAACGTTTAAGCTGCTTAAGAGAATTAACTGTTCAAATACTCCTAAGCTCTTTAGAAAAATTACTAGGTCAGTTACAAATCCATTCCCACCTCTTCACTAAGTGACTGAAGGTCTGCCTCTAGGCGACTTTATTAGTTGCTTCGAGTTTGCTATTTGAGCTTGAATAAAACTACTTTCTTAAATACATTTTCTCAGAGCTTTCCCTCCCAGGCACACAGAGGAAGTGAGGGTAGGGGTGTGGTGGGAGTGTGTGCACAGCCGGGGGCCAGGGCTGGTGAAGAAAATGGCTGCCTTGGGTTTGGTGTTGGGGTCTTGACACCAATTCCAATGTCTGCGAACCAAGCTAGTTACATAAGTGTGTGCAGGTGAGCTGGGAGTGGGTAAGGCAAGAGGGAGTGGAGGTGTCAGTGCCGAGTGGGGGAACCCACACCCTCCCAAGCCATTTATACTTTTGCCAAGGGAGCTGGATTTGATTGGTGGGTAGCCCTTTGTGACCGTTTTCTTACATGCTGAGTTACCGAAATGTGTAGGAGAGGAAATGTGTAGAGCTGGGTGGGCTCATTCGAAATTCAGGGGTGTGCTGACAAGATCTAAAAAAATATATATGGAGGGATATCGGCCCTTGTAGAAGAAGGAGAAGGAATGATGGGAGCATCCCTAGAACATGCGATGAGATCCCTCAAGGAAGCGTTAATCTAAAGATACAAAGGAAGGTGACCAAAGCTTTGTCTGGGAGATCATTCGGGTTGAAAATGGGTCATGAGAGAAACAACTTGGATAAAACGAGCTGCATATATTTAAAGGCAGGGCTGTGCCTGGCAGAGGAGCTCTTGAAGAGGCGTAGTGAGATGTGCCCATTTAGAGTAAGTAATGAAGGACACTTGAGACATGCGTGTTCTCAGGACCGAAGGCCAGCGTGGTGATGGGGTATAAAATGAGAGGCGTAGAGTCAGGGAAGGTCTCAGGTGTGATGACTCGGATGAGCCAAGGCATGAGAGGAAGACGTTAGATTTTCAAGGATGGAGGACCAGAAGGGCGAATATGACAAGGACTCTGGTAGGCTCTCCTGGGGAGAGGCAGGAGGTCCGAGGAACAGAGAGCAGGAAAGGAGGGAAGTGGACAAAACAGTAGCAAATAAACCAAGCTTGTAATGATCTCAGAAAAGAGCCAGCGTCTTCAAGTCTTTTGAGCTGCGGCTCATCTAAAGGGTGTAGATAAGCAACCCTTTCCTTCTGCCCGGACAGTAGCACAGAAAGTGGGCCGTGCTACAGCAGGAGGGTTTAGGTGACGATTTCTTAGATCTGGGGCGGGTATGAGGGCATTCGGAAATCTGCATGTCTAGTAACCTCGAGGTTTGATAGGTTCTTGGAGATTCAAGCAGGCAGGCTGGGCTGTATTTGGACGTTAGTGACTGGACTTCAATGCTCCCAGCCTGAGATGGTCTCTTCATCTTTGTACTTCTGTGTAGCCGCACACTGCAGGCCTGGTGAGGGCTCTTCCACTGCATCCAAACTGTCAGCTCCTCAAGGTCACCAAGGTCATTCTTTGCTGACCTGGTAACTAGTCTCATACCATCAGTGGTGGTAGGGACACTCCAATCACATCCAGGTAACACAGGAATTTACAAGTCAGGTGGCATAAGGCTTCATGCAAAGCGGGTGCTAAATTACCTTTTTAGTAAGAAAAAAAAGTTCTTTAAGCTGTCATTAGCCATAATTTAAGCCTGTTTCCTCTCGCAAGGTGCTCTGTGTTCAGCCAACCTGTCAAAACAATACTTAGGTATATGGACCTGGTTAAGAGCCTTGCACTGTAGCATCTATTACTTTTAATTACTAGTGGACATGGACATCCTGTTGTTAACACTATTCCTGCAAAGCCCTGTTTCTAATCATCACCTGGGAAGTTGTAGAAAATACAAAATTCCCACCCTAGACCTGTTCAGTCATAGATTCTGGGGACGTAGCCCAGCGACCCATGTTTTAACAACCCCCCCAGGTAATTCTGATGCAAGCTCAAGTTTGAGTCATTCTTCAAAAATATACAGTGAAGGGTTAAAAGCACATGACAGATATTAAGCAGAGTGGATGAGCTCATTCTGGCTCTTCCATCCCACTTTCCTATTAATGTGTCAGGACTCTCCTAGAAAAACAACGTAAGAGCCCTAATGTATTGGAGGTGGGGGAAAAGGAAAGACCTGTTTGTTGTGTCTTCAGTTTGGCAGTCACTGGTTTCACACATATGATCCCATTTAATCCTTAAAATAATATATGAGGCTGTTACTATTTGACCAGATAGGAAGCCAAATGCAAAGATATTATGTAATTTACCTGAAGACACAGCTGCTATGTAATTGATGGGATTTGATTCCAAGTCAGGTGTCTTTTTTAATCATAGTATGCTGATTCCTTCTGGACAGGTTATTAGTAGTGTAATTTACAGAGAGAGAAGATATCCAACATTACTGTGCTATGATTCTTTTAAAACAACACGGTTCACCATTAACGATGCCCAAGTCTTTACTGGTCATGCGTGTTTCTGAGCAGGGCGGGCCATCTTGCACGTTCATCTCAATTTTGTTTGTCCTGGGGAAGCAGCATCAGAGAAGTTACTTGAATGTATCTACTGTGAGACTGGAATCTGTCCAGGTCACTGTTCTGCATTGAACTAGAGGCAAATGGCTTCAACTTGCTGGGCCTATTTCCTTTGCCCTCGTACTACCATTTCTATTCCCATCTAGAGTTAGTTAACCAACCCAACCCCATCTGTTTTCCACCTGCAGCAGATTTGGAGCATAACCAATTGGCCCCTCCAGTCAACTCATGGATGAAGATCTTCATCAACGTAGGTCAACAGTACCGTCTAGGAAGTGCCAACTCATATCCAAGCCCTTCAGAAATAATGTATAAACCTTCTTGACCAGGTAAGAATCACGGTCTCCGCAGACCTTTTTTGCTTGCTCATCAGTATCTTGTGGCATTCAGTCTTACTCTGCCATGTAATTCTAGAATTTGTAGAATTGTTAGACCAAATAAAAAGAAACTCTACTGTCAGCTCTCAATTAGCTGCACCACTGGAGAGGAACAGGGACGTGGTAGATTTTAAACATTTGGTTCCATTTGGCTTTGGAATGCACTGTGATTTTTTTTTCAGTAGATTAACTTTTCTAATTATATTTTGCACAGCCTAATATTAACAGGCATTTGTATTCCCTGGGCATGTAACATCTAACGTTGAGAGTTGGGAGATGCAGTAGAGGAGTCCAAAAATGTGCTGGTCTCAGGGAATGACAATGTTGTTATGGAAAATCCACACATGGATAATAAATAGGGAACTAATTATAAAGCACTCTGCAAATGTTAAATCGTAAGCAGAGAAGGCAAATTAGGAATTCTCTATGGACATGTGAGCAGAGAGCAAAAAAGCTTATTAAAAGGGACAGAAAGTTTCAAGAATCATCTTGGGTGTTAATGGAGACTGATGGAAAAATTAGGATACAAGGCGGGTCCGTAAATTACTACTGGGTGGTCTTTCAAATAAGAAAACCTCAAGCAATAATACCAAAGCGTTTTAAAAGAGCGTTTAAAATGAATTTTATTGTTTAAATTTTACAAGTAGTCTTCAAAGGCTTCAAACAAGAACTCTGTTGCAAAACTCTAATAAATAGCTTGCCCCAAGTCCCCAAACAAAATGTAAAACAAAATAAAAACTAAACTCTGAAGGATAAGCAAGACTTCAGAATGCTTGGATGTTAGCGGTATTTCTCATTTATAAAGAGATTATCAGGCAACGTACAATCTCCTTCATACAAGTCAAAGAGAGAAAGAGACAGACAACTGAGATCTTTACAAAGCACTCCGAAATCTTCCTATTTCCATGACAAGTGTCACCAGGAAAAAAAAATCCCATGGAGAAATCACAATAATGAATGAAACTGTAGCATAAAAGTCTGGTGATGGGGGTGAGGGGAGAAGAGAGGAAAATCCACCCTGTTTCTTTCAGGGATGGAGACAGGCAGGATTTGAGATTCCTCAGGGCAGGGAACTTCTGAGCAGATGCCGCTAGACTGCTGAATGTTCCCTTAGACCAGAGTCGCCACTGAAGGGGCACAGGTGGTAATTCAGTGACAAAGTCAAGGCAAGAAGAAACAAGGCCACCAGGGGCTCCCCTGGGGCCTCTCAACACTGGTGGCCCAGTGTCTCTGTGCTGCGTGGGACTGCGAGCCTTGGAACAATGGCCAGGGACCCAAAGCAGCTGCATCACTAGATGGGAAAAACAGCACATCAATCATTTCTGCAGCAGAACCCTGTGGACGGCGCACAGGGATGCAGAAAATGCTGGGCTGAAATTGCACACCGGGACATGCAGGTCTCAAAAGCCCATTCCATTATCACAGTCATTGCTCCTAATTAAGTATTAAAAGTTCACAATTTAACATTCACTTTTCCTAGTTAGTTACAAATACTGGTGAAGTCTTGCTCTGGAGAGAAAGGATTTATTACTTTATTAATGTGATCATTTTGAGCGAGCTAAAAATACAGTTTTGCCACTTGTTATCTTTAAAAAAAAAATCTCCAAGAACTACACTTTTGACCAAAATGCATACAAGTCATAAGATTTTTAGTTTGGAGGAATTGAAACCGATTACTGTTGGGAGCCAGGAAGCTATAGATAGGCTGATTCCAATTTAGAGGGACTCAAGCCAAACAAAAAGGGCGCCAGCTCTGAGGAGCACACAGCCCCTGGGACCATCTCCCTGGGGGGAAGGATGACGTAGTGATGTCACAATGCAGGACAGAAAAAGGGCGTGGCCCGCAGGCTCGTCTCCGCCTCTCTCTGGTTCACTGATTTGCTATTGTTAACTAACCCCGACTCTGTTGATCTCTGTAAGGTAAGTACAAACATCACTAGCTCATGCACAAGCCATTCAAAGGAGGTAGGCGTTGTCTGAAACCACCTCCCTTCACAGGTGTTTCAAGAACGAAGGTAAGGAAATCCCCCTCCCCAGATAAACAGTTTTTAAAAACTATTTTCCTAGGAACAATGACATTTGTCAGGATAACAAGGGGAAAGCTTGGGTTACCTGAAATAGATAAAAAGAGGCAGATGGGCTGGGGTGGGAGAGACCCTGGTCCTAGGCCCAGTTTCTTTTTAAATACATAACAGATAAAGATATTGTGCAAAAAAATAAAGACATTCACATTTTAGCAGTTAAACTTTTATTTTACTTTTTAAAATTTTTATTTACCTTTTTTTTCTTTTTCTTTTCTACAAAAGGCAGACAATGATTGTTGATCTGCAGTTGTTGTGTTGTGCACTCCCCGAAAAGGGGCCAAGTCGGGAGCTAGGTGGGGAGCTCTGAGAATGCCTTCAGCGGCGGAACTTGGGGGCTACAAGACCTTGCCAGAGAGGGCGCCCCCGCGGCCCCCCGTCCTGGCCTAGCTCATGTCTATGGTGTTGAAGACCCACTCTGTGAACTTCTTCAGCTTGTCGGAGGCATTCTGGGACTCCTCCTGCAGCCTCAGGTTGTCCTCCCGCAAGTGCTCAACTTCTGCCTGGAGGTGGGCCTTGTCCTCTTTCTCCTGGGAGGGAGAGCAGGGCAGAGAGGGACTCGGAGGGGGCCCGCCTTGCCCAGCCGCTGGGAGGAGTGGCTGGGGCTCTCTCTGCACTTGACCCTTATTTCTCCTCTTCATTCCACTAAACAGGTGTCTACGTGGGCCGGCCCTGGGCGTTTTAAGATGCTCTCACCCCAGGAGCAGGACGTCCAGAGAGATCCACCACAGGTTTATTTTGGACTGTAAGTACATGACTGCGCAGTTTAATGTCTTTGTTAAATAATAAGGAATAAGGGCTGCCTTACTTTTTAGATGATTGTTACTTTTTAGACGATTGTTTAAGAAACAAAACAGTATCTCGCCTGGATAACAATGAGGACATGTGGGTCTGGGCTGTGGACCGCTGATACGAGGGGTGGGGAGGCCGGGAGAGGGCTCAGAGGGGGCTGGCGGAGGTTTAAAGGCTTTCGCCGAAAAAGGGAACGCTTCTTCTGTACGTGTACAATGAAGGCCGTCTTGCACTCTGTGTCAGTGGAACCAGGCCCCAAGCCCACCCGCCCCCAAAGGCGTGTGAAGCAAGAAAACAGAAAACGCCCACAACTTACTCCACTAACACTAGAGACCAAGGGCTCTCGAGGTTTAAGGGCAGCTTGCAAGCACTGGGCAACCCGCTTTGAGAATGTGTGTTTACCTTCTTTAGATCTTCTCGAAGCATCTTCAGCATCCCTTCCAGCTGGTCCACTTTAGAAGCCAGAGTGGGAGAGGAATCTTTACTGCTGGGAACAAGAAATAAGAGACCAGGTTGTCAGGAGCCTCCACGGCTGGGTTTGTCTGGCATTTGTTTCAGAGCCAGCTATATTTATAAAACTGTTTGCAATGTCAAATGACTCAGCATGGTGCCCCAATGCACGTTTTTTAAAAATGGCAATCTTAACGAAAGGTAATATAAGTGTGAATTACAGCCAATCAAAGATTGCTTTGATTTTGTCAAAGATGCTGCATCTCTGTGACCAAAGAATATAGGACACTAAGTGAACAAGGGCTCTTTGGCGGCATGCGAGGGACTTTCTGGCAGACACCACTGTCAAACAGTGAAAGGAGTCACTTTAAGGAGAGCTACTCCTCTGTGTGAGCGTGTCAGGTCGGGGAAGGGTTGGGGCGATCCAGGTAAGTCAAGTCTGTGACTACTCATCCAGTGGCAGCTAATTTATCATGCCCAAGTCTTTTAACTTAGGCTAGTTTAAATATCTAAGTATTTTAAAGATAAGACTACATCTTTCAGAAGCTTGTCAGTCCAACCTTAATGTCTTAAATGCTTTTCTATTATGATGAGCAAACACTAAGGCCCACAATTTTCTTATCTGCTCGTTTTCTCCCATTTAAGTGCTAAAAAGGCTAGGCTAGGGAGCACTGAATGGAAGGGGACGTAATGGATGAGAAGGCCATGCCGCTGGCCGGACAGGTGACTCAGCTGGGCCGGGGCTGAAGACTCTCTCAACTCCTTTCCTCTGCACTCCTCCACTTGAATTCAAGCCTCGGAAAATTTCCCAGTGAGTGAGTTCCTCAGAGTCAAAAGACCAAAAATCTCAAGGCTCCCATTGGGATTATATGCAGCTTCCTTTTTCCAGAGGTCAAAGGGGAAGAGGCAGTAACTTGGAATTTTTGGCATCATGAAATAAAAGGTATTCTTTACTTTAAAAATCAGAAGTTCAAGCTAGAATTCCTGACCTACAGGAAGCTGTGTGGCTGTCTTCTAATTTCAGATCCACAGCCAGCCCACAGGGGCATGGAGTGTGACACACAGGCTGTAAGTAGAAGGGAACGATCATGACCTCGAAACTCTAAGACAGGACAACCAATTAAACGCTGACAGTGAGTAGATTTTAAAAGGGAAGTGGTCAGCCACAATCCACGACCTCACTAGCGGGTCAGATCCGCATGGGTTGAAGGCTAAACGTGTGACAGAATCAGGCTGGTGCTGAACAGAAATACTGAAGTGGGGCGGAGCCGGGGGAGGGTAGGGCAGGGCTGTCCTTCACAAGCCACTGAGTCCACTGTCCCTAACTCTCAGTAGGCCAGCTTGGCTTCTGAAGACTTGCAAAATGGATTGTGTGTCTGTGTGGGCACTGATAACCTTTACAAACAGGTTTAACTCCGTCTGTATTGGCTCACCCACACTGAACAAAGAAAAGACCCCATCCTCATCTTATGATTCTACAAAGATTTAAGGACTGTTTCATAATCCCTTCTCAGGAGAACAGTCCCTGCTCACTCAGGCTTCTCTTCACCCTAAAAAGCTACATTTGGGGCTCTCCCCACCGACTTTTTTAAAGTTCTCGACAGCCAAACTACCCACCACTTTCCTTCCTCAGCAGTCCTAGTGGCAGGATGAAGGCCGCGTCAGACTGCTACACTCGTAACAAACAACCCATGACTCTCACGCTTTCTCCGTGAAGAGGGTTCCTTGCAGACTTGCCTAAGACGTCTTCCTTGGGTTATCTGCGCACTCCATTTCAGCCTCACTCTTCCTGTTTAGTGGCTGTTTCTGACCAAGTTTTATAGCTACCTGGATTCTTAGTCATTCTTGAAAGGTTTATAAAGAAGAGATTTCAAATGGACATGATTCTGCATTGAGGAGTGCTCACTATGTGTCCACAGCTGACTGCTGGGATGCGCTAATATATAATAGCATCACCCATTTACCTAACAACTTCACCATCTGAAACTGAGGGGGAAATGGGACAGCCAGCCTCTCCATAGTTAAGGTCACCGTTCATACTTCTATGTAAAATAAGTAAAACAACAGCTGAAGGAGATCTTAATGCTCCTCCTGGGGACTCAGTTCGAACGTAGGTCTGAAGCAGAACAGAGGGAGACGCAGGCACGTTTACAAGCAGGACTGACAGCTGGGGAAGAGGCTTAAGCTCAGACTCCGACACGTTTAGTCCTTGAGTCTGGTTCTTATTTACCACAAATGATTTCTCTTAGCTTACCCAATAGACCCTCAAGACATAAAACGTATTATGGCATTAAATAGTCATGAATTGTCATAATTATGACTTTAAGTCATCAAGAACAATTTAACAGTGTTTACAGTATCTGTAACTACAAGGTGAGTGTCTGGCACCCTAGGGCTGAGCTTCATTCAGGGAACCCATGTGGCCCCATCGCCTCTCCCCCACGCCGGCTGTCACCCGTGGAGATGACGCGAGGTGAAGAGTGGTGACTGACCTGCTGTAAGACTTCATCTGGGCCAGAGCCTGGTCCTCAAGCTGGTCACTGTTGGATGCAGCACTCAGAGGGCGATGGTTTTCATCACTAGCAGCAAAGAACGAGGCTCTCTGGACTGGAAAAGGGAGAAGAAACCATTCAGAATTCTGGAGACACAGCCCGGGCCCTCTCTATCAGAAGCCAAGCAACGGCCTAATGGACAGTCAACTCTAATCGACAGGGAGGAACGCATCGGAAACCTTATCTCCCAACCCTCCCAGGACAACATGTTTTACCTGGAAGAGGATAGTAGCCTTGTAATTTCTTTTTTAAAAATAATTGTTTTGAATCAATTTCTATTCCTGCTTTTCCCTTACTCATCAAAGTAGCATTCTATTCAATGCTTCCCTGGGAACAAAACTTGTGCCAAACTTCCAGACCAAGGCTTTCCACTCAGTGACGCCATGCAATGCATTAAAGACCTAGTATGCAGCTGAGTGAGGCTTTGTGAAGGGTGTGCTCCACGAGGCGCCTGGCCACCTTGATGGGCTTTAACCTAGAGCCACACCAACTTCAAGCTGGAGCTAAGGAACAAAATCAAAAAAATTTCCCACTAAGAAAACAAAACTGATTTTATATGAAGGAGAGTGACCAACACGTTGAAATTTACAATCAAGTGAGTGCTGGGGACCTGTCATCAGCTAAAATGGGGACTCACTGTTCACCGCTCTGTGGTTGCCTGACTTTTGAATTCCATGGCCTAGTCAACTTCCTCTGAAAATTGGAGCTTGACAGAATAGCAACTTTCATTTTTCCAAGCAAGGGCAATAGAACAAAACCTCAAAAACCAATCATTTACTAGCATCATCATTTTACAAAGAACATTTTAGCACCAAAAAAATTTTGGAATGACAATTGTAGAGTCAGTATATTAAAAAAAAAAGAATACGTGACAACCTTGTGTCAGCACAGAAAAGCATTACTTCTAGTTTTTTGTATTTCAGCAGAGCATGTCCGCACTAGTCTAAGGGCCCGCATTTAAAGACCACTGGCTTAACACAAGCACAGAGCCAGTGGGCTGACCAGGAGCACTGCAGACAGAAAGCGCGCTACCACGCCCGGGAGAGATGAGTGAGGGGGCGGAGGGAAGACCTGACGTTTGTGGGGACTGGGGCTGGGCCCAGCAGGACAAGCATCCTAACACATCCAGCTGTGCATTTGGCAATGATGAAAACACATGATGAAAAACTCTCTCTGGACCTGTGTTTTCAGTCAAGTGATAGCTGGGATTCCTCTGCGCTCTGCCCATCCCACGTGGAGGGAGGGGAGGCATCCGAATTATGAACTCCTATGTGAGGAAACACCAGGTTCCACCTGATTAAATCCAACAGCATGGGTCCTACCACGTGCTCGAGAACTGTCAGCTCACCTGGTTTCTGGCTGTGCTGGTGAAATGCATGTGCTGTCAGTGTGTCCAGAGCTGTCAGTATGTCCAGAGCAGCTCACACTGCCCACGACCTCAGCGTGGCCCAGCCTGGATGGTCAGCGGACTCACCCTCATAGGCCTTGGCGGCATCCACTAGGTTGGACCAGTCCAAATCTGCAGCAGCGTCGGGCAGCGGCATCAGGCCGGGGTCGGGCATGGGTGGCCTCCGGGTCTCCTGGACATCAGTGAGTGAGCTGTCTGAGGCTGAGAACTCTCCTGCAGGAAGGGACAAGGAATAAGAGACGTCTCATGCCTGCAGCAGAACCACTCAAAATTTTACACATTTCCTGTTTGCCACGATAGATCTGTAAGTTATTCGTTACCTGGAATCAGTTTCTAGTCTAACAGGCCATTAGTGGCCATTCTAAAGCTGAGTGGAACTAGGAACTGGCTTCCTCCAGTCCTCATTTTTTTTTTTTAATAACTCCCACTGTCCCATTTCTAGTGATGGGAGTCACGGAAAAGTTATGAAGGGGATGACTTCACAGAGAGCTGGGTTTTGCAGCCAAACCAGGGAGGCTCGTGGATGCCTGTGGGAGGGGATAC